TGGTTGGAATGTTGAATACACGATGAATATATGAAGGACTCGTGTAAGCGAAGAATTTCGGTTCACAATATCCAAAACAATTTTAGATTGAATGCAACGAAGTGCTGGAATCCGTTTCCGTTGTTCTGCGATAGGCAATTCCACGTTGATGCTAAGCTGAGGCCACGTACTGATATCATCTGCTAAAAACTGTGGTCCACTGAACAAAAATGTGCTTGGTAGCTCGGAAGCACTGCAACCGCGAGATATGATGTCCGCTGGATTGCATTTCGATGGTACATGACGCCAGATGACTAGGTCAGAAACTGACTGGAATTTCAGATACCCTATTCGCTACAAAAGAGTTTATGGTTGTGGAATGCATATTTATCCAGCGTAAAACAGTCGTAGAATCGGTCCAAAAATACGTATTGCTAATATAAGGTTCCAACTTGACCGTAATTTTTCCAGGTTTGAACTAAAAGCAATGCCGCTCACAGTTCCAGTCTTGGCAATCATAGCCCTTTCACTGGTGCAACCTTTGACTTTGCGACAAATAAACGCGACTTACATTACAAATGTTGCGGATATAAATGCAGCATCCATAAGCACGCTCGGATGCATCCGCAAACCCATGTACCTCTGCTTTGTGTGCTAATGAAGTCAGTACATACCTCCGAGTAGTGATTGAATTGATATTCGCCAAGTCTTTTCGAATGTCTGTCCAGGTGCCTTGTAGTGGTTTTAGAAGTTCATCAACCCATGCTAATCCGTGTATCCATACAGACTGCAGTAGCATTTTGCATCGTATGACAACGCGGCTTAACAATCCAAGTAAGTCGAATATTTTCGCGGTTGTAGATATAACTGATCGCTTGGTTATAAGTTCTGAAGGCTTATCCTCATATTGGAAGCAAAACGTGTCAGTAATTGGTTTCTAAAGCATGCCTAGTGCACTTGATACATCACTTCCCAGTTGAATGTTCACATCATTGGAGCACTCAAAGATATCGGTGCAATTGCTGTTCCACTTTGAAAGTTTAAGTTTGGCCTTTTTGAAATATCTGAGTGAGTTCAAGTTTTCGCTTACGAAGGTCGTCTAAACTCACTCACGGCGCAGATGTGAGCACATCATCTACGTAGAAATCCTATTCCAAAATTTCAGCTCCAATCGGGAAACTGTCGTGATAATGCTCTGCAATAGAAACCAAGCTTCGAATTGCCAAGAAAGGCGCAGATGTGGTACCGTAGGTGAACGTATTTAATTCATAATACTCTAATGGTTCCCTTGGATCGGATCTCCAGACGATGAGTTGAAATTTTCTGTCTTCAGGTTCTATCCAAAACTGACGATACATTTTACAGATATCAGCTGTTAACGCGTACTTATGTAACCGAAAAGGAAGCAATGTAGTTATGAGATCTTGCTGAATCGTCGGACAGACCATAAGAATTTCGTTTAGAGCGTAATTAGATGATGTTTTGTGAGATGCGTCAAAAACGACACGTAACTTCGTACTTTACTGCTTCGTCGCAAAACCACTTGGTGTGGTATAAAATAGTGGCTTTTCTCCATTATTCCATCGTAAATAGGAGACATACATATGTCCAAGTTAATAATAGTAATTTCTTTAGCATGGGATCTTTTTCAAAGCGACGTTGCAATGCTAAAAAGCGTCTACATGCGTTCTGAAACGAATCGCCAAGTAAAAGTTCAGATTGAGCTATTGGTAGACACACCTGAACACGTCCGTCTGGGGTAAATTTGGTATGCTGAACATAATGTGCTTCGCAGCTGGAATTTTCACGAGATTGTGTTCTTAGCTTTTGGTAATCTTCAATTTCTCAAAAGCATCGCAGCTAAAAATTGAGGTCATCTACCGAGTTACATTTTGCGAGGCAGCAACGGCTTGGAGGCATTGAGTGGCCAGCAGCAGCTTTTCCACCCACAATCCATCCGAGCGATATATTAACCAGAAAGCATCCCGAGAGCGATTTTGCCGTCCCTTAAAAGGTCGAAGAAGATATCTGTACCGAGAAGTAGATCAATTTTGTTTGGCTTGAAAAAATATGGATCGGCTAACATAATATTGGTTGGTAACTTCAAGTTTTTGGTATCCACGTACTGACTGGGTTGTCTAGACGATATGGTCTTGGACACAGTGAACTTTGTAGTCCACTCGAGCTGAGAAACGTGCGATTTGATGGTTTCTTGTACCTGGAAATTAAAGTTAGTGTTTTCGCCAGCTATGCCGGTAACTTTCTGCTTGATTCGCAATTGTTTGAGTTTTAAACGTTTCGCAGTTGCATCCGTAATAAAATTTAGTTCCGAGCCGGAATCTAGAAGCGCTCGAACTGGCTGCTAGGTACCACAAATATCTTTTATATAAACTATAGGAATAATTATGCAACGAGTTGTGAACGCTAACAACGACGTGTGGCTCTGGCTATTCCGACTGGGAGTTGACCCTGCTCGCTGCATTGACGATGAGACGGAGATCGAAATGGCGCTTCCCCTAGAGAGGGCTGCCGGTGTAGCATAGTGTGATGTTGTGCACCGCATACGCGAAAACGTGATTGTGATGAGTAATTAGCCATACCGAGGCCCTTTGATAAAAAATTTATGCATAATGATGCTTGTTTTACGAAGTCAAACCGCTGTGTCACAGACACGGTAGAAAATTTGTTACACCGATGGACGGCATGCTCAGTTGCTTGACAACACGCTCATTTTGACTTTACATTAACAAACGTTTTGGATGGTTTGGAACTGTTGTTGTTTCGTGTTTGATGGTTAGTTTCGACAATATTCGATTGTTTAGTCCAGGTTTCGAGTAACTGGCAGCGATGACTTAGAAGAGTGTAGGAATTCTCAAATGATGGGAGCTCAGCGTCTAGCTTAGTGAGAATTATGTTAATTAATAGTGCGTCCATGATATTTTTCTCAGAGCCTAATGAGAGTAAGGCTCCCTTGATTGAAGTGACATTATCGTTTAGCCCGGGCAATGTGACGTGATCACTTTTATTCATATTTGGCAAGTGATTTTATATGCGCAATGAATATAAGCGTTTTGTTATCGAAGCGTTTCTTTAATAGCTGAAGTGCACGTTGATAATTACTTTCCGTAGATTCAATTGGCTTGACCACAGCTCGCGCAGGTGCCGACAAACAGTCCATCAAGTAATTGAATTTATCAATTGTGGTCAACGAAGCGTCGTCATGCACAGCCAATTCGAAGGTGTGCATATAACGTGAATATTCTGTGTACTTGCCGTCGAATTTCGGCAAACATAGTTTGGGAAATCGATGTTTTGTGAGCTGCTGAGTGGTTGGAATTTGGAAGTAGCTTACGTGCGGCATGCTTGATCGACGTGCTTTCTGCAGAAACCCCGCTAATTTAGATTGAGTTGAAATGAACACCTCTTCTAAGTCTCCACGACCATTGTCTGTAGCGCAAATCTTTTCGATGAGTGTCTGAATGTGGCACACTTGTTTGAAATACGATTCCAAGATTTGTAGTTGACACTCCAATATTGTTAGGTCAGAAGGAGCACTTTCTTTTTCAATTTTTGACCTCAAATTAGTCATGTACAGTCGACATGGTGAAACCCAAAAATTTTATTTTAATTTAAATTTTTTTTTTTTTTTTAGTTGATGAAATGTGACTAGATTCAATCACCGAAATTTAGCAGAAGCACGCAAAAAGGTTTACGGGAAAATCACAGCAAGTGGCGTGATCACAGCAACGAGGTGTACCAGTATAGTATGTACCTTTAAACAATTGTACATATGTAACATGTGCCGATGCTATTGTCCATATGTACTATGTATTGGATAAACCGTATTTTTGTGCAAAAACAATCAGGTCACCTTTTGCTTGTTGTGCGATTATTTTGTTTAACGCAAAATGAGGGTATGCATGTACAACGATATGTATTGACTTCGCGATGCCAGTATACAAATAACCCAAACTTTGTTTTTGGGTCCTGCAACGGTCGCCTAAATGTTTAGTAGAAGTAAAAATGTTCTTAGATTAGAGTTCTGTCTCTTACCAAAGTTGGATCGCGAGTGAGTAAATTTATTTCAATAGCAATAAGTACATTGGTGAGGTGTAAATTACAGATAATGAAAACGAAGCTGCCAGATTACAAAAATATCAAAACAATTGCAAATTATAAACTATATTATCACCCCTATTGCGAGTGTCGACTGGCAGTAGATAAACGACTATTAAGCGATTATCGATGCTAGAGCTGCAAAACTATCGATATATCGAATGGTGGTTATTTTTTGCTACTATCGATGTTTTATTTTCACTACCGATGGTATCGAACAGAATTTTATCTCTGTCCCATCACTACTTCTGACAAAGGACGCGCTAATCGGTGGAAAATTTGGGTAAGCGAAATGAAAAATCCGATATTAAGTGGCAGTTTATTTATAATTTAATTGTTTTTAGACACATTGCAATTAGTGTTGGCGGTTCTATGGATAATTACCTGAGAATTTCCAATAACAAAGGTAAATAAATTATAGCATCCGCTGTATCATGTATGTATGCGGATAGTCCCAGCCCTACCGCCCAATTCTGTGTTTTCTTGATAATTTTTTTTTAAAGAAATTTTATCAAGATTTTTATCAAGTAAAAGCTTCCTTCGCATTCTGTGCCAATATTTATAAAACAAAAAGCTCTACGATTTCCACATTATTGGAATTGATTTCCACATGAGTGGAACTGATTTCATTGTCACATATGAAAAATATGAAGTTAAAAGCAAATAAGCTTTTGACTGCCGTAGCCGAGTAGGTAGAAATGTCGACTATAATTCCGTGTGTCGCAGGTTCAAATGTCGGCACATGGAGTATTTAATGGTTAGAAACAAATTTATTAATATACAAAATTTATACATTTCACATGAAATTTCAATTTGTCAATAGCATTTTCAATCTTGATAATTTATCAAGAAAAGAGCTTTTGATTTCTGTGCTAGAATACCAATTCTTGATAAATAATAAAAAATGGACAAATTATAAAGATTTTCAATTTATCAAGTGCACTGAATCGGGCTGCTAGTATGTATACTTATATGTACGTGTGTACAATGTAAGTGTTTGTGTATGATTTTAGATGCCAGAATGTTCTGGACATCAGCAGTGACCCGGAAGAGGGAAGTCCCTGTACGAACAGTTCAAGAGTTGGAAAATCGAAGGTATGGAGATATTTTGAAAAAGCAAAACGAGGTAAAACTGCCGCTATTGTGACAAAATTTACAAGACGAGTGGCAATACGTCTAACATGTTTGACCATCTAAAGCGATCGCACCCTTCATTAAAAGAATTGTCAAAGCCATCGGGAACAATAACTTCCTAATTGGATAAATCGAAGGTGTATGAAGTATCATCACAACGAAAAAAGACCTTGACAGTGCTTTGGTGAAATTTATTGCGTCAGATGTGCGACTATTTGCAATAGTAGAAGACAAAGGATTTCGCGAATTTGTGAAGGAACTCAATCCTCGTTACGAATTACCATCTCGAACGACCCTTCAAAATGTGTTTATGGCGAACATTTTGAACAAGATAACGGCAATCGTCACCGACCATGCTAAGTCAATGCTGAAAGCGTGCGAACTGTTACAAAAACGGAACCTTCCATGTTTTGCTCACTCGCTAAATTTAGTTGTGCAAGAAAGTTTAATGCTAGACAACATTCAACTCATTCTATTGAAATGCAAACGCATTGTGTCGTATTTCAAAAGCAGCACAATGGCGTACGCCAAGTTTAATATGGAATTTACATGATTCAACTTTCACAGGCGATTAGTTGAACCA